AAATCTTAAGAGCGCCGACTTTCTTGCTTGAAGCATATCAGTGGCCGGCTTTTCGGAATCCTGCACATACAGAGGCACAGCAATTTCCCCAACCCTTATATACTTTGCAGAATTCTAGTAGGATCCCTGACCAGTACTGTATATATTCATTATAGTATATTGCACACACACATACATACATACATATATATATATATAAACAATTTATATATATATATATTAAGCTGACAGTTCGCATCATTCGTCACAAGCACCACGAAACAAGTTTCCCTGCTGAAGGAATGGTCAGCACGCGCCACATTCTGGAGAAACACCTTGATTTGCTTCTAGACCCGATTCATCAATACTTGTTTGAAGCACTTGCGCCCCCCCAAACAATCTGACAGCATCTGACAGCAACTCTCCCAAATGACTCCCAAAAAGAGCACTTCGCGCTGTCATTGTTGGATCTCTCGCACTACCCTGCACATTGCACATGGCTCGCCGGACACGCATCCCACGTCGATCCCGGCCTGCCCTTTTGGCAAGTTGGGCCTGCGCAGTGAGTGAGGAGCTCAGATGAGCCAAGGTGGGGAGACAAGCAGGAGAGTGAGCGAGCGTTGCAATTCCGAAAACGAACCCGGTGCTGAAAACAAGTCGTGCTTTCGTTTCTTTGGGGTGCCTTTGTAAATCAACAGCGGAGGATAGTCGCACGATTTGACCGGTCATCACCCCAATCAAAAGCTCGCGACCAACAGGTGGGTTAAAACTTGGATGAGCCGTACATATTTATCTCCGTTCCTTATACAGTAGCTTTTGCGGAACTCGCCCACCTTTGATGCATGCTTGGAGCTGCTCACGGGACTTCTCCAAGATCCGCCTTTTCCGCACAATTCTATTATTGTACACTATTGCGCTATATTGCTACCACTCTTTGGTTGCAGTTTGCGCACCGCAGCTGAGGCTTTGCATGCCTTGCGAGAGGGCACGGCGGAACGCAAAAGGCAGATTTGTGCGAACATGCTGCCAAATCCTCGAGCGCAGGTGTAGGCCCACCGTAGCAACCCAACTTGTTTGAGGCCGTTCCCAAATATACCTTATATATGGGCTTGAGTAGGCACTGAGCCCAGGTGGTTGAAGATGTTGAAGGGGACCTTACGACATCTCAGGACACACCTTCGCCCAAGTGGCTCGAAGACGACCAACAAAGAGTGACAAACATCATCTCGATCATTCCCCCATCTCGACTTGCAAATAGACTCAATAGACTAAGTGACCAAGTCCCATTGGTCTCATTGGTTGGATGTCCCATTTTAGCAGAACAACATGAACCACCCAGTGCATCGTTTGCCGCTTTGGGTGCCTCCAGGCTGTGAGAACAGCAGTGGCAGATGCCCCGGCATCGGCTGACTTAGTCACATGGCCTGAATGAAGGAGGATGAAGACGTTTGTAGACCCAACCGATCCAGCCTAAGGGCAAAACAAATCCAAGACTGATGCAATGCAGAAAGCTGATTGCCAGGTTTGTGGCGGAGGACTGTGTGCCGGCGTGCACTTATTGTGAGAAAACGCAGCTGGCAGTCCTTGTGCATTGAGGTGTCCAGAAACATCATGGGTTTGGGTTTGGGGTAGTGGCCTCTCCATTCACCAAGTATGACGCCACGATTCACATTGTGAGTGGAGTTTTTTTTTTCAACTTGTTTCAATCTAAATTCGTTTCCCTGGTCACTCCTTGATCAAATGGCTGGGTTTTCCAAAAGTGAGATCATGAAATTACCTCGTGACCCCCCCCCAACATGTCCTTCTTCATGAGTTCTTCTTCACCTCGCTGGCTCCGAACCAAGGCTCCTCCCGTGGATTTGCGCCAGAGCCCTTGGGAAGCCTTGCACGAGGCCTTCCAGGCGTGAGACGGAGGATTTGCTTGCAGCTTCTTGTGATAATCCTGCAGCTTCTTGTGTGATGGATCTATCAGTTCGAAGTTAACATGCGGGTGGCAGGGGTGGGCCTATAGTACTTACTACTACGCATTATTTGCGTATATCTCATTAAAACTCTATGGCTTACGCATGTCCTTCCCCTCTCGCAACAGAAAAAGCCAAGGCTGAGGCTCGGCGGTGCTGGGGGCCTGGCTTTGATGGGAAGGTTCCCGGTTACATTGCAGACGCTTGTTGGCCCTGGCGATGTAGTCATCGGCACGGAGGGAAGTGATGGATGCTTTGGAATCTTTGGATACATCTCAGCCCCCCTAACCACCAATAGTTGGCAAACAAGCACGCTAGACCAACGCATAACTCAATCATAGCTCTTTTGTTGAGCTGGGTCGCTACTACCCTCATCCCCTTTAGCTGGGCTGATAAACGTCCAAGATTTCCGCTCTTTGGGGTTCGTGACGTACATTGCCGCAAGCCCACAAGGAGTTACAAGGAACAAGAAGCTACTAGGGGCTCCTGGCCGTACTGCTAGGAGCAGGGAAGCTACTCGGAGCAAGGATGCTATTAGAGGCTGCAAACCACAGTCCCATGATGTCCCATGCCTTTTTTCACCCACCACCACTGCTGTGAGAAGGCATCACGATGCCACAGATGCCGATTCCTACGCTTTAAGACACAATTCCTGCCGACTTTACGTGCAAGACTGTCTGCGGCAAACATACTTCGAAGCTTTTGATCATGCCTCCGTCTACGCTGCGCCAAGGAATGCTTGAGCCCAGAGCATCCGGCGAAGGCAGAGGAACCTCCCTTCCGCCGACGATGGCTGAAACGTAGGGAAGAAGATCGCAGAGAAGCAGCGGCCACTTGGATTTAACAGATGATTGGATGATGTAATGAGAGGGAAGATCAAAGACGTGGCATTGTGGGCAATGTGGGATCATTGAATCATCACATGAGCAACAGCCAAAAGGGTCCGGTCACAAATCTTTGTGAGAGGAACTTTTGCATAGAAATCATGAGGGAATCCTGTAAAGGGATATAGTGAACAACCAAAAGCGCTACCATAATGTCATTCAATTTTCCTTATGGTATTTCTTGGCTTTGTCAGAGGCTTGGCAATTCCGCTTTACAAACAACAATGCCAAAGCGATACCACTTTTTATTTACAGTATATAAATGGCGTCTAGATGAGTGAGAACTCCCTTTGTATCATGTCCTAACCGTCCTAACCTGTGCATGCTACAGATGAAGAGCTCTAGAAAAAGAATCGCTGGGGCAATGAAGGGGGAAGGAGGGCTGCTTTGTGAATAGAATTCTCATGAATTCTCTCTCTGTCTCTCTCTCTCTCTCTCCCCCTCTTTCTCTCCACCTCTACCATGTATAAGGTTGACACAGGCATCTTAAGCGGTAAAAGCTATCAACCAAAAGCAATACCAACATATGGAGTTCCGTTTTTTTGTGCATAGGTTTTGGCGCTCGCTCACATGTTCGAGTTTGGAACCAATTGAAGCTTAGACATGTTGAAATGACATAAGCTGACCTGGGTACTGAACGGGCATAGTGTGCAGCGATGTGTCTCTTCTTTGACGGGAGTAGATTGGAGTCTGGTTGGAGGATCCATTTCGAGGTCTTCCTTCAAAACGAGGCCTCGCTCCGACGTGTCACTTGCTCCGACGTGTCACTTAGGACCCCTACGAGACCTTGGGTGTGTCCCGGAACTCCACGCTGCAAGAGATCCGCCGAGCGTCCTTGTGATGGCAATGAAGTCCAGAAATGTCACGAAAGCTAGCATGCTAGCTGAGTTCTTCTTTGCTTTAGCAATGTTGTGGTGGGAGGGGCTGCGTGCCTTAAAGATTGATATATCAAGCTAACCCCCCCCCCCCCCGCGGTTCAACTCCCAGCTGCGCCGCTTCGCTTATTGCTGTGGTGCACCATTCCACTGAATGCATGATGTGTCTTTTACTGTCTTTCTTAACAGCTACAGGTTCAGAGAAACACCCGGCCGGGCAGACAGGGACACCTTACTGCGTGGCGCTTCATTGCAGTCCTCTACTACTTCAAGACCCGGAGGGGGGCTGCACCCACACATCAAAAATGCAAGAAATGCTTGCCATTGCTTTTAGAAAATCTGGGGGGTAAATTTACCCCCCGCTTTTGGATGCCTTTGCCGGTTCTTTGGGGCAGTCCAGGGGAGGCTTCAAGTTCTACTTGCACCCACACATCAGATAATGCAAGAAATGCTTGCCATAGCTTCTACAAAATCTGAGGGGTCAATTTACCCCCCACTTTTGGAGGCCTTTGCCGGTTACAAAGTATCAGTTATATAAACGTAAGTCAAGCTTCTTTGGGGCAGTCCAGAGGGGGCCTCCAGCTCTATTTGCACCCACACATCAGTGATGCAAGAAATGCTTGCCACAGCTTCTACAAAATCTGAGGGGTAAATTTACCCAATAGAGCACTCTTATTTCTCCTCAGCCTTTCATACGCACTCTTATTTGTCCTGCTTTAACTTTTTTCCTCTTTACAATTCTCAGCCGAAAAAGTCCAGTGCGCTTCCGCTAGCTTTCGACCTCCTCCCCCTGGCCTCAAGTTGGTCCAATGCGTTAGACATTTGGTGACAACAGTGATATACTGTTATACTCCTGTTTTTTAAAGCCTGGGGGAAGCCAAAGGGATCCAAAGGGCAAGTTTGTTGGTTCATGGTTCTACCTTCAATGAGGTGAATTCTTGGCTGGGCGGGGGGTTCGCCCAAATTGACTGAACCTGTGCGCATGGGGTTTGTGCCAAGTGATCCTTCTAAGCTATTGCTATACTTGTAGCACCCCACTTTGATCAATAGGTGGTCGAGGTTGCTGAGTCAGTGCTTTTCACTGCAGATCCGACTTTGATATCAAACTGTCACAGTCAGTCAATGCAGTTTCGCCGCGTTCGCATCATAGGATGATGGAGCAGCCCGTCCCACCAGAAACCGCGGCCACCAGAATTGATGTCACAACTTGTGACCTTGAACCACCACCCTGGAGCGAGGTATATTCGCCTGGCCAAAGAAACTCACCCGGACACTGGGGGGCGACGGAGAGGTTTTCCAAGATGCAGCTCGGAGAGGTTAGCAGGATCTCAGATCCATTGGCAACTGAGTGGTATTTGGTGGGGCAGGGCCTGCAAGTCATGTCATCACAGGCAAGTGGCATGTAGACTCCTTGTGCTGATATCATCAGCGAGTCCATCAGTGGGCCAAAAGTGAGAGGGCACACCAGGCTGGGTGGAGACTTGATCCAATACATAGGTACCTAAGCCCGGCTTAAGCCCTGTTTGTTCGAGTGAAAGCGCCAATAGCTGATGCAGGTAGAGCCCACATGTCAATGCTGACGTTCCAAGGTGCTGCTGGCCTATCGCATCCTGAGCGATGAGGAGCGGCGCAAAGCTTTTGACGACACTGGCGAGGATGACGCCGCTGCAGAGGTGGAGAACGAGCGGAAGGCTGGGCCCTTGTGACGCGAAAGGTCGCAAAAGGACACTTAGATGATACTTGTATATAATTACTGTACCCTCAGTAGTTTTCATGACCTTGCTTCTGGGCCAACCAGTAGTTTCCATTTCCATGTCAAAGCATGCAAGTGTGCATGAAAAGTGCGCTAGTCACAGTCACCGCACCAACTCCAGTCCGGTCATTTCAGCAGCGAGTTGTTTCGGAGCACAGTTCGGAGCACGGGCGCACTGAAAACATTACCCGAACCTGCTACAGCACAAGTTGCCAGGGCTGCGAAGCAAAGGTGAGCAATTCTTTGCAACCACAATTGTGCATTGTAGGCCTGCCATCCAAACTGATTTGGCGACGCTCCTGAGAAGTTTGATCTGCTTGGACAATGCTACACAAGGGGAACTGACGCCACACTGCTCCAGAACATTTCTTTCTTTCCATTCTGCATTCTTTCTTGCAGTGTGGCCATTGTTTCACCACTACCAAGCAACCTGAAAATGCTCGACTCTTAATCAACCTGCGACACTTAAATCTAGTCGTCGTTTGGGGCCTAATATGGCACTCGTCACCAGGACCCATGGGGGAGGGCATGGAGGGCACTGGACACTAGGAGCGAGAAGCTACTCTACTAGGTGGAGGCCATCGCTATTGGGTTGGAGGCCATTACTACTAGTAAGTAGTAACAAGCTACCAACACCATCTTCACTTGCTCTCGCTGAGGTGAGGCTGCCGGGCTTGGAAATCCTGCGCCCGGCGGTGGAGAATCACAGGTGCTCGGCCCTTTGAGCTTTTCAGAATCTTGGGATTGGGAGATGACAAACTTGATTCGTAGCTAAAGCCAAGTTGTTCTTCTGGAAAAGAAGCCAGGCCAGGAGAGCCTCAAAGGTGCCATTTATTCTATGTAGGGCATTTGGGTCCAGCTTTTCACGCTGGAATCCACCATATTTTGTAGTTTTGGGCAGGTTCCCAGTTGTTGTCAGGATTTTGCTCAATGATTCACATGACCCATGTGTTCGGATCTGAGCTAGTACGTCGTCAAGACTAGGAATTGCAGCCCATTGGGCTGTTTCTGGTCGGTCATTGGCCACGTGGCGGTCAGGGAGCTGTACTGGGAGCGTGACATGGAGCGCCTCGCCGGGCAGCTGGGCACTGTGCAGTGCGATGACCCAGAGACCGGCATGACCGCCGCCCGGCTTTTGTGAAGGAGGGGGCCTACGGACTATAAGAGCTAGCAGCCATAGCAATGGCGTGTTTGTTTGCAAGAGGTTGGGATTTGGCTCCTGTACTGCGACAATCCGACAAGACTACAATTTGTGTCTCCTTCGGGTTTTCTTTGCAGAATGGGGAGGAAAGGACAACAATGACGTCCACCCATGGTCACCGACAGAGTTCTAGAAAGCTAAGACTCCTGCCTTTGTTGCGAACCGGCTTTCTGCAGGTGGGCCTACCTGAAGTTAAATAGCACAGGCACAGCCATTCGGTTTTCACTGTAGTCCAATGGAGCAGAGCGCGGTGGGGAGCAAACCTTGTGTAAGTGTGCGCGGGTGTGGGGGGGGTACGGTCCATGGCTTGTTTGCCCCAGGAGTCGCAGTGGGCCATCCAAACTATTTAGACGGTTGGCCTCGACATTCGTGAGACGTCTCCTTGCCACTCAATGGAACATCTCTTGCAGCGGAATTAGCTGAGGAAGTGGTCATTTGGGTATCTGACGAGGAAGGCTATGCCGCTTGGCTGCCCACCGAAGTGCTCACCTATGTGATCCTTGGTGCTCGCAAAATCGCGGCGGCGCGGTGTTAACATTGCCAGCTCAGGGGATCAAGAGGTTTGTTGAAAGGACTGTGTCAGTTTAGTCATTGCCCACCCGGCTCACCTTTGGGCGCCACTGATGTGCAAACAGAGCCACGAGAGTGTTAATTAGTACCTGGTGAGTTTCTACGCCAGTAGTTGCATTGCCTCGGGCTTCAGTGCCCTCATGCACTACCCAAACAACCACCGGGTAAACACCAATTCATGCATTCGCCAAGAAGTCGAATCTAGCTTTTCTTGACAGCTTGGGCCATTTTGGGCCCCCCCAAATGCTACACAATGTGGATCCATATGTCCCGTGCGTTTCCACGTCCATCGCCCAAGGAATCCCGATGGCGAGGAACAGCCCTACGAGTTCTACCAACGCGCCTTGGTGCGGCTGAACAAGGGGGCGTCTCTTGGCAGATCGGTGAACCGTTGTTTTTTCATGGTTTTTCTTCTTGTGTGGGGAGTCTCACGGTAAGGGGATGGAGTGCACAGGGCGCTTCTCCAGTGAGGGTGGGCAAGACTGCTCAAGCCTTGCAAGCTCCCAGCCAGCCAGGCTTTTCAAGCCGGAATCCTTCGAGAAGCAGTCAGCTCGCACTATTCAATACACCTTGGGCTGGGCAGGTGTAGACAATGGCCCCATGATGAAGCCCGATCCGTTTCTTGGATGTGTGCAGTTGGGCGTTCGTTTTTGGTCATGATTCGAACGATAATGCGGATCCGGTTCACCGGCTTGGCAGTACAGTACAATGCAGTATTGGCAATACATGTAGATTGTAGATTGTCAGACGTGTTGTCGTTCGGGAAGGCTACAAATGGTAACTGTCCCCGAACGCCGAGTGTGAATCTTGGGAGGGAATGCACTGGCGTCACAAGTCGGTATAAGGGGCTGTCGGTTCAATCCTCAAAAATGCTGTCGAGATTTTTGTGCCGATTGACGGACCCCTTGACTTGCGGCCCACCGCTGATTCCTGGGCTCCGAGGCTTCGTGATGCCGCCTTCGCTCAGGCGAAGGGCGCACATCACGCATTGGCAGGGACATTTGGTTGGAGTTGATCTTGGCAGAGGTTAGGTTCGTTAGGATGTTCTACATCCATCGTCTTCCTGAACCCCGGATGTGGCCCCTCGTTGTTTGGAAGAAGGTGATCATGATGATCAATTTTTGGGGGCATGCTTTCTGTCTCTGCCATGCCCAACTTGTCCGTCCACAACTTATCGCATGGTGGGCGAGCCAAGCAAACACCCTTTTTATATAGGGTGGCTTCATGTGGTTTCTCAGTTCTTAGGGCTGTTAGGATTTGTTTGGAGTTCGTGATGTGTTGAATCACAAGGAGTTTTTTCTTTCTTCCAGGTTTCTCCAGCAATAGTCGGTGTTTCCTAGTCTTAGTATATGTAATTTACATATGCTCCTTCCGCCCATTCCTTGATGCCAAGTCCTGTGGTGTATGGGCTTTGTTCCTTTTCAACAAATAACGGACAAATATGTCGCAGAGGCTTTTTCCAATCCTTGACTTCTCTCCCTCTCTCTGTGTCCTTTTCTTTCCTTTCTCCCGTCTTGGAGGTCTTCTTCAAAAAAGGTCGGGATGCCGATGACTCGGGTGTGCTGCTGGACCTTGGCTGCCAACACGGCGAGAGCAGCCGTCTCTTTGCGAGCCTCGGAATGGTTGTTGGAGCCTGGTGCCAGTCCAAAAAGACAGCATGCGCAGGAACCATGCAGAGTTTTGGTTGGATTTCTACCCTCAGGTCATTGGTGCTGCCATGTGTTGCCCATTGCATGTGCAATTACATGTAATTACAGCTGATTTAACAAACTTTGAGTTTGAATTCTATCCGGTTGTTGGCCTCCACCTAGGAACTCGAGGAAGTTCGATCTGATCTTCGGTCCCTTGGAATCGATCAGAGGCCGCCACACGAGCAGTGGCGAGCAGTGGCGCCTACCCTCTGCCGTTAGGACCCTATGTGACATAATCATAAGTGTCTCACAGGGTGTATATCAGCCGAGGGGGTGTATTGGGCTGAGATTTCGGGGTTTGGGTCGTAGTTTGGCCCACCTAACTTTAAAGAGAGGAGAGTCCATCAAAATTTGGCACAACACCCCCAAGCACTTTCCTTTTTGTTGTGGGTGCTTTATGTAACAACGAGGAGGGGAGAATCGTATAGACATGTAACACCACTTCAATACACAACATCAAATTTGCCGTACATGGCTTGATTCTTCAATGCCACTTTGCACAGCTGCCTTAGAGGGTGTGCTTAAGACAGCTTCAGACAGACTTGACTTGACCCACTTCAAAGCTCGTAGGTAGCCCAGCCATCTCCAAGGCATGGATCTCAACTCCAGCGCCCTGTACCAAGCACGCTTGGACGCTTGGCGTCATATCTAATCAGTGTGGGTGGTTCGGATCACAGGAACAACCGCAGCTCAGATAGCCAAGCAATTATGCGGCCGTGACCAGCCAGCAAAACAAGACCTGGCTCAGGAGAGTGCCGGGAGTGAGCTCCCTAGAAGCGCTCAGTCATGTACAATCACTGAATGAACCTAACTTCCATTCTCACCTTGCCATCCTCACCTTTTGACCCCATGTTTTTGCTACAGAAGCCTGAACGTTGCTCCATTGAGGAGTGTGAAGATGAGCAGATCGGCCCGGAGCAGGGCCTCTTCCTCCTCCGAGGTGATGCGCAAGAGCTGCCCTTCCGAGACCAGCAGATCGACTATGTCGCTCGGTGTGAACACATGTGAACGCTGGAGAGGATGGGAATGGCACGGGGATGCACGGGGTGTGGAAGGTGTGGATGGGATACATTCTGAACAAAGGCCAAGGCAGCTATGCTTGCTGCCTTGCACCATGCAGGTTCTAGGCTTGAACATCTCATTCAATCAACAAGCCATATCAGAGGTGTTCTCGTGAATCGCCATGCCCCCTTGGTCAACCAGGTCTGGTGGTCCTTCGGCTGGGAGGAAGTGGAACGGCCTGAGGAGGTCCTCAAAGGCGCCAGACTTGGGCATTCGGCGAGTGGTTGGAAGTGCCAGACTTGCCGGCGAAGTCTGGCTGGAACAATGGAACGGTGTTGCACCTTCTTGAGGGTTTCATATTAGTGTTTTATGGACTCAGGGATTCTCAAAGAAATCTGGCACTGCGGGGCTAGGCCGGGCGGGCTGTGCTTGAGACACCATCATACACGCCATCCCTTGGCTTCCTCAGGGATCTATCGGATCCTGAAGGTGGGCGGCAGGCGTGACTGAGGGAGCGAACAGTTGGCCGAGTCTAACTGTAGGATACTGTAGGTGGGCCTTGGGCCATGGCAAGGCCAATTGGTTCCATGTGGTTCCAGATCTTTGAGATGCCATCGAAGTCAATTTGGATGCCCGTTGATCTCAGGGTGGCCATCGCCACATCCTTGGGAAAGCCACAGGCCAAGGAGAGGAGTTGCACAGAGTTTCCAGATGTTCGCAGCGCCCACCTACCATGAGAACATTATTGTGTGAGTCATCAGTATTCAAGTCTTGAATTGGACTGCGCACGAGGACATCATGTCGAAGATGGTGACACTGGGGTTTTCTGCCGCTTGGTGTTCAGTCAGTGGAACCTCACTTTGGTGGCCGGCCCTTTAAAGATCAAGATGATCAAGCTATTCAAGCTCACATACTCTGAGACGTTCGAGGACATGTATTGCTCGGGCCCGGGAGAGTAATTAGATGAAGGCAGTGCAAAGAACAGACTTTGCAAAAACCTCACTCTTCCCCTTTGGTTCGGAGCTCCTGCTCTTCACTTCTGCCACTTCACCACGATTGACTGGATCAATCCCCACCACCCACGGCTGAGGAAACCAGCATTTACCCACCGCGCTCCAAAGTCTTTCTCAACTATGCACCTTGGTGGAAATGTCAGCACACGATCGCCGATTTTTATGGGAGGTCATTCCACAGGACTTCATCATGCGTGATATCTTGGTGTGAGCTTTATGCTGTTTCGAAGCTTGGGCGATGCACTAGCTCACTTGAAGTGGTTTCTTGGCTTGTTTGGGTGACTGGCCCACATGCCAAACAAGCAACAAGCGTATCCTCCGACCGGAGCTGCGTCTCTCTGCTTCGGCCGCGACACCGAGGGCACCAAGACGTCGCCGTCGTGAGAAGGACCAACAGGGTTAAGACGCGGTTGGACCTCTTGGTCCTCAACATCCTGGACCTGAAGGCATCCAAAGGTTGCGCTGAGGCAAAAAGGGGTCGCCCGAGAAAGGCAACGTCAAAGCCTGTATTAAAGTTGATGCAGGAGCAGTATGGAGCAGTCCCGAGCAACTTTTCAACTACGAGCAGTGTGCGTTCCACATGAAGCACAAATGCAGTCCCTCACTCTCCATGTCAGATGCTAGGGTCACCATGTTGATGTTGAGGTAAAGCCCTTCAGTTGGCCACCATGAGGAGGGGATCACTTGACAAGGGGTCGTTTACCAGCCACAAGCTATGCTGTGGGCCCTAGACTGCCAACATGCGTCCGTGTATTTGTTCAAAGTGAGTGCTGCATCTCCACTCTCCCCAGTCCTTTGCTTGAGCGATGAATCAAGCCTCTGACCACGCCTGCTTGAGGCTGGAACATGGCAGCAGTGCTTTTGGAGGTGAGGTTGGTATGAAGACAGCTCAGCAGCGATTCCGTTTGGATGCGGGTTTTGTCGGCCCGACGGAGGAGGTGTTCTGACACCTTTGTTGAGGCGGGACAGGAATCTTGTTGAGGCGGGTGGGTGACCTACATGGTGAGGTGCTCGATCGCTCAGCACCCATTGTTGGATCATTGTGGAAAGGTAACTATCAAGGGTTCAGTTTTCACCTGTTAGGGGGGCAACAGTGGCGTGCCCGGAGGCACCATGGAGAGACGAGCATCTTCAAGCAGAGGCGACAGAGTCTGGGAGGATGGGAGCGATCTGTTATGGAATCCTTGGGATGGTTTTTCTGTATTCCTTGGTGCGGGATATGCCCCACTTCAACCCAGTTTCCTTGCGATCTGCCACAACAAGGTTTGAATGAATCCAGCTTGCAGAGCCCTACAGTGAACCCGTGGCCAAACTGGAGAAGTCAGACAGGCTTCACATGTTCCCGCACACTCCCAGAGCTCCAAGTAGCGTCCGATCGCTCCTCGTAGCGATGCCAGGAGCCCCTAGTAGTGTCCTTTGTTACTACTAGTAAGCATCCTTGTTCCAAGATTGAGGTGGAATCTATACAGTGAAAAGGCATGAAAAGGCCAATTATCTCTCATCCTGGGTTGTGCACGTGACAGAGTTAATGTGATTGAGTGTACATACAAAATCATTCTTCTGAAATCTTTTGGAGAAAAAACTGATGGGAGAACAAACGGATTATATTTTCAAACTTGTCAAGATGTACAACCTATATATATATATTTTGATATACACATATTATAGTAAATCCTGAGGAGGAGTAGCTTTGAAGTCACAACTGAGTGGTGGATGCGAATCCTCACCTCTCTGGAACTCCGAGGGGCTCGTGCTCTTTCTGGGGCAGCTCTATTCGATGAGGCCAACCGGGACCCGGGAGGCTGTTTGTCCCAAGAAACTTGTTGGTTTTGGGGGCAGAGTTGCTGGCTCCTGCAGTCCCTATCGTTACCAGATTTTAGGCTGTGAGCAAGGCATGCCCGCTTATTTGTTTGAGGAATCCTGGAATCCGAATGCATACTCCTCTTCAGCTGGAGTTTCAAGTGCAAGCAAAAATGCCAAGTCGACTTGAGCCCCTGGCCCTGCGGGGGGGTTGTGGAGGTGTTTCCTGAAGCTTTGCTCATCTGACCCTGGGTATTGCTGGAGCCCTGGTCCCTGGTGGGATCTGAGACAGAGAGAGAGAGAGAGAGTGGCCCAGTCTGCTTAGGCTGCTAGATGAGCAGGAATGTGTTGCCACCCTTAATTGCTCGCCATGCTCTTTTTGGTCATACTCTTGACAGTGGCAGTTGCCAAGTATGATTGACAGTGGCATCCCATATCAATATAAATCATATTGTACCCAGTGAGCCCAATGACCTGACTCTGGAAGGACTTTCTGCATGCCAACAGATCACACCTTTTCTCCCCCAGCCTGTCAGCGGGAACAACCATCGTCCAACCTAAGGTGCGCTTCACACTTCAGACGAGCAGAGGTCCCCCTGACATTGACGGGGTGTCAATCAAGGTTGAAGGAGAGGGCCAGCTCCTTTCCATCCAACACATCCTTTTCCAACCTTGAGTTTGCCGTTTGCTTTTTGACCCTTCTTACCTGCAGGGCTTTGTGCACACCCTGCGTAGCACAAGCACGAACCTCCCCTTGCTTGAAAGTTTTTCAACGTTGTCCCAACTTGCAGAGTGGCCAAAAGATGGCCTCGCCGCCTAGCCGTCAAGGTTTCTCTTCTCCCATCGGGTGCCAGGCGAGCAACTCAGGCCTCCTACGGCTTCTCAGAGGAGTATGTGGCAGTGGCGATGGCCAGTGAGAATGATCCGGCAGGCGGCATCAATGGCTCGAAAATGGTGAAATGGCATTTGCACGCCTAGCTAGCACAAGCTACTTGAGGTTCAAAGGATGATGCGCAGATTGAATTGTCACTGATTCAAGACCTGGCACCCAGAACAAATTAGGCCGCACAATTGCAACTCCAATGATAAAGAATTGAGCTGGTCGGCAAGTTTTGCAGTGTGGGGTAGGGTAGGTTTTTGATATTGGGCCTGTGGGGGTCCCCAGGATGTGGTCTACAACCTTTGTTCGGTGGTAGGTAGAATGGTCACATATCCCACCGGTTCCAAGCAGCATGATCCAGCATGTCCCAGCCACTGAGTAGAGGAAATTGATCGTCCACAAGAACAGCCAAATGTTTTTGTAAAGATTAAAAAGAGGTTAGGTCAACTTGGGAACTGCAGCAATGCCGTGAAACACCTTCCATTTCATCAGTGGGGCCATGGAGAAACCAGTCCAAAATCAGCGGTTCTCTCTCTCTCTCTATATCTAACATAATTTGTCACCACTATCTAGTAGTGAGCCAGTCGGTTCAGAGAGGGCGGATGATATGCCCCCCAGAAAACTCCATGCCATTCCTTTCCCTCTTGAACTGTGGAATCACACCGCCACACGCACACAACTGCACAACTCACAAGACTTCGCAGCCGTGGTCCCCTGTGGCTTGGGGTGATGACGGCATGTGGGATTTCGAGACGGCGAAGCAGAATGCAAGTCTTTTGGATGGAGCACTTCAAGCAGCATTGGGAGACCTGGACCTAAAGTTGGACCATGGATGACAAACCTCAAGGGTGCTTGCAGGGTTTGCATGACCATATGTCACCAGCTGAGACTGGGCTGTAGTTGGCTTTGGTTGTTGCAGTTGGTGCAGGAGCTCCTCCCAAATAGGTCAAAAGAGCACTTTTTTACCATTATATAATTTATATAATTCCGTTTGATTTCTTGTCGCACTTCTGCATTAGGAGAGCTTTGGTTCCACCACTCCCGCCGGCCGAAGAGCAAACTGCCTCCCAATTTGCGACCGGGCGCGCTCCAGCGTGCTCGGGGGTATTTGGAGAGTTGCTTGGAGGTCCAAGTGAATGACCAGGAAGCAGCCTGGCTGCATGTGTGGCTGAATCGTGTCTTGGATGCTCAGCAGGACCGAGATTGGGAGAAGATCCCACACTGATTTGCCGTACTGTAATCATTGTCGTGCAAAGCACTGCCAAGTGATATTGCATCTCAGCTGGGGGGCAACAGTATATAGATGTAAATTGCTTGGTCAGCAAGCCGGACCTGGGTGTTTTGCTTCATGCATGGCTTAGAAACATGAACATTATTCCAATGTTGGAGACCGGCACGAGTTGTGGGTGGTTTTCAGATTCTTTGCATTTGCCGTCACCAAAGGTCGACGGTTTTGCATTGGTTAGCCCTGTGCTGGTTGATTGAAGTCTGGGCAGGATCTTCAACTCCCAGAAAGACTTGGTTGGACAAACACTTTCATGCTGCCTTTACGACCAACATGTCAAGCACACTAAATCTAGAGCGTTGAAGACTTTAAAGACGTTTAAGTTAAAGATATTAATAGACATTTTGTTTTAACATATTGTTCCCAGACACACTTCCTGGGAGGACTGGCCGGCTTGTCGATCATGGGCTGCGAAGTGTGTTGCAAGCCCCTGGGCTGAAGACAATCACAGCCGTGCGATCATGCCTTTAAGCCTTCTAATCATCGATAATATGACATTTGGGTTGCACATGTAGTTGTACTTCAGAAGTTCAGAGCCTCCAGGGACTCGCATTTCTCACTTGACAGAATTCAGTGAGGACACCCTTCTGGAGTGACAACGAACCGAGGAGGCGTTTTCTGGGAGCATCCGTTCCAAAGACCTGGACACTTCATCCGCGGCCTGAGTGCTTTGCCCTGGCATTCCGCACAGCGCTTCGAGCTTTGTAGGCCTTCAGTGGTCAGTTTCAGGTATGCCCTAGAGCCACTGACCAAATCCTGTACAATGAAGAGAGTGAGCATTTTTCTGGATGTGTTTGTTCCTTTTTTTTGGATGATCTTTTTTGTGTGCGTTTTCTGGGAGTGTTTTTGCTTGCCTTCTGCTTTTGCTTCTGCTTTTGCTTCCGCCCTTGCTTTAAGTAGGGAAGAAAGTCCAAAGAAGCCCCACGGAAGTGAAAAACCCAAATGATTTCCAGTATTTGCAAGATCGCTTGAACTCCGACCTACATGGTGCTACAGGACTTCATCGATGGATGCTCGGTTGAGTGCAGCAGATGGGAAGCTGCGTGTTGTTGCATGGAACCAACTCTGGCGGTAGTCCCATTGATTTGTCCCAGTCTTGTTTGTCAAGTTCTCGACTTGTTTCCATGTTTGTTTCTCAAGTTTTCGAAAGCTTGACGTGCCCCACAGACTTCTCCTGGACAGTGGTTACGCCTTGCTTAACATCGGCATCAATGTCAAGCACTGGACTAAAGCTTACACAGTTGCCGAGGCCAGTGCTTTGCGTACCGCCCTCAGCGTTTGGGAGGCCATTGCGTCGTCTGAAGCTGGTCCTGACAACACGCGTTTTGCCTCCACCTTCTTTCGTGATTGTCAGCATCTCGTTCTGGTTTTGTCTAAGGACTGTATTCAGCAGTGGCACGGGGGGCACGCATCTTGGAATTGAAGCGGCCAAGCGGCCAGAATCAACATCGTACCGCGCCCTCGGCCATGAGGGGGCGCTCGCAGGAGCTACTTCTTCAGCGCCTGCTGGCTTCGCCGGCCTGGCGACCAAGTACCTTTCTAAGGGTGATGTTCACTTCAGGTTGCTCATGCCCGCCTGCCTCTTCCACCTCGCTTGAACTTGGCACGGCTTCAAAAAATAGGGCTTAGTGCGAATACAATTTGGCTGGGCGGCTCTACCGGTGCGCACCTTAAGGTGGCTTGCGGCAAAGTCCAGAGGCAAGAACAAGCAACAAGCTAGGTCCAAAATGGCGCGGGCACCGACAACACCGAGGTCGCAACTGCTTCGGGCACGGCAGCGAAGGACAAACTCAACAAAGAGATAGTGTTGCGGTCGGTGAAAGCGAAGACGCTAAGCCCTCGGCCTTAGGGTGGGTCTCGCAAAAAAAGCCTGAAGAATGATTACGTATGCCAAGCCAGCGAACTGGCGAAAGTACGTCGAACTGAAGCCGAGTCGAAATAAATGAAGTGTGCAGCACGTCGTTCCCAAGCGTTTCTGGTTTTGAGATTACGAGATACGCTCAGGGAAACCATTTGCCGAATCAAGCTTTCTATAGGGGCCAAGACTTCATTCGTTTCTGAGGCCAAGACTTCACTCGTTGACTCCTGAAAATGAAACCTCTTTGTTTGAAAATCGCCGTCGTCCATCCATTCATTTTCACCTGATGCGCAGCATGCTTTACATTTCTGCATCGCCGCTGCCACGCCCTTGCGCGCAGCCAGGTCTTCAAGGAAGGCAAGAGGCCAACGATCTTCCAATACGTTCTGAGCAAATGAGAGGATTTGACTTCGAGGCGCTGCGCAACACAAGGGAGAGGTCGAAGATGGATTGCGGCTCAAGACCTGTACATACAGCTACATTTTTGGCGCATTTGCAGCCATTGTCCGAAGTCTGAACAGGGCGGAGACCCCTGTCAACAAAAATAACGCAACACGTATGAATCACAGGGGTTGAAGACAGGTCCACAATCTAGGTCAAACGTACGCACGCCATGGGGTACAGTGCTGTGATAGCGGCAATCATGACCACAAGATACAAGATGTAATAGTAACACATATTCAGTGTTTGGTTCCAACCGCTCTCTGGGCCCACCTGGTGTCTGTATATACCATCCCCCCGTGAACCATGCTCTAGAAAATGAAGAGAATCAAGACAAGTCATTTTATAGTTGTTCATATGCGTTTAAACTTTTTGAAAGCTATGATTCATTGCATTTTGGGGCATTCCGCCCGGACTGGTATAAGAAGATGAATACAGCCTCTATACAATGCTTTTTTGCTTTCTTTGGAAGGGTGCCGTTGAAAGCAACAAAGAAAACCACTGTTCCTGCCCCTTGCCTGGGCGGTCCGCCTTCATCTTCGAGCACTGTCCCGGCGACAAAGCCAGCCAACAATGCCTTCACGTCCACATCCGTGACTCCGTGACTCGAACTTTCACAGCGGCGCTGGTCTGGACAACAAACTGGCTCTGCGGAGCCTGCCGCGTGAGCAAGCCTTCTTCGTTACCTGCCGCGAACATCTGGGAGGGGCTTCGCCAGGTTGACTGAAAACACCACACCCCCTACCGGCACTGGTTCAGGCTCGAGGAAGATGCCGCGAACGATCCCGACTTGGGCATCCAGCCGGCCGCTGTTCACATAATTTTTTCCCGGTGCGCAGACCTCCTCGGCAAGTGCAAACTTCGGCTTGCCAAGCACATGTGGCCGGACGACAGCAACCTGATACCTTCGGTGGCCCTAGGACAGGACGGTGTGAACTGCTTGATCTCAGCCACCGATTCTGGTTCGCCTGTGTCGGCGCGCCTCAATGGCGGTGTAATCTTTCGTACATTGCAATCTTTTTCTTATGCCGGCAGGGGGGTCACCCCCCCCCAAGGAAACATACTTTCTATCAAAGAAACGTATGCGAGCAGGGCGGTGGAACCCCCCCCAAGAAGGAGACTTTTGGTCAAGGGAATGTATGGAAGGGGTGGGGACATCATATAATAATCGTGTCATTGGCCAAGCTTCTGGAGAGAACGATGGGGAACGCGCGTATGGCGCGGTTGTTTTGTGTGCTTGGGGGGGGTCTGCAGTGCAACGGCTTGAGGCGGCCGGGATGAGGGTCTCAAGGTTCCAGCGCAATGGCAAAACTCGCCCAGCCGTGGCCTTTAACTAAAGCAGTCTTCTGGATGTTGTCGGGCCACGCAATGCGACGGAATTGCTGCGGGCAATAGAACAATTGGCGTGTTGCCCGGTGTTATTCTGCCAGCTGGCGTCGCGAGGCCCTACGAAACCTGCGTTGTGGCTTCTCATTGTTTCGGCAAACGCTTGGTTTCAAGACGGGGAAGCAACGCAATTCTGTAAACATTGCCAGAAAACGGCATTGTCATGGATGTGTTTTGCGGTTGCTCAAATCATGCACACAGCTGATGGGTATCCTTACAGCGTGGTTCCGACGCCCGCGCTGAAAGACGTTTAGTTCCAAAGCTGCTTTGGGCCGCCTTAAGAAAATTTTGGGTTGTGGCAAGCGGCAGATGAATGCTTGTCTAGAAGAAGAGGTGTTGGAATTGCATGGGATCGATCGAGCTCGCTTTTCATTTTTGCGGTTCTGCCGATTTAAAAAAAAGCGTGCTTTTGCTCGCAAATTCTGATCTGTGGTTGCCTTGCCTCGAAAACCCTGATGCGCAACAAGCGTGCAAAAACACAACAATCGCCAGATCTGCCCAGATCCCACATCAGAACACCGTCGGGTCCAGGGGGGTCTTGTCATTCACACGACTGGCCTTTTCAAGCCCCCAACAAAGTACTGGTTCGCTCCTATCTGGTCCTATCTATTGAGCTTAGGGGCTGGGTGGGCCAAAGAAAGTAACTTCTGATTGCCCGTCGCTTGCATCGACGTTGTGGCGTTCAATCGAAAATGGTTCCTTTGAAATGGCAAAGCACGCCTTGGCCCAGCATGTGTGTTCGGAGGGTGTCAGCAACAGCTGCGCGCGGCAAAACGCCGATGTCTTGCCAGGGGCTGCGTTGAGCAGCCAGTTCACCAGCCTGCTGTTGCTGACACGGTGCTCTCAGTAGTAGCGCACGACCGTCTCGCGCTGCGATGAGGTGGAGAACTGGAGGCAACGAAGTGTTGCTCCCCCACCTGTCATCGGTCGCCCAACCATAAGCTTTTTGATTGAGCGTTTTCAACAGGTCTGCGATGGTTGTACCTGGAACAAGCCTGGGCCTATACGTAAAAGCTTTTGAGCCTGATCGATTGTATATTGGTGGGCAGAGTCGGTTTTGCAACCATCAGGCCTGAATCAGGCCACGCAACCATTGATATTTGGGTGCAGCATGGCGCCTCAGCTACTTTGCGCGCGGCCAAGCCACCTTCGAAGCAGCTGCGGCTTGTGCGCGAGCTTGCCCCAGTCGACGCTGTATATGGTACAACGGAGTGCTCTCGCAGTCTACTGTTTGGCGCGTGTGCTTGTAGAAACCCAGGAGGCCAAAGATGTCCCAACGCAGCGCAGCTATGAGCAAGAAGAAGTCCTAGTAGTTCCTCTCTCCTGTTTCCTCACTGTTCCTTCGCTTTTGTTTTTTCTCACCCCCTCTCGCTTGGTCTCGCTCTCCTGCTTTGCCTCCTTACCCTTCTGCTGACCCTTCTGCTTTTGAAGCGCGCCCGGAAAAATCCACCTTCCTCGCTGTCTCTCTCTCTTTCCCTCTCTCCCTTCCGGTCGCCCTCCTGTTTTTACCCTTTTCTGCTCCTTCCGCTTCTAAATGCCAGAAAAATCGAAAAAGTACGAAGAACATTTCCCCCCCCCATGAAGAGGATTGAAACGGTGTTATGATAGTAAAGTAGCCCGTGGCCTAGGATGTTTTTCCAATTCTTTCCCAAAGATTGACATTGGCGCATTACTTTGGGCGAAAAGGGTCAAGGTGAGACTACCCTTCGACTCTTGAAGGCTATTTAGACGCAAATTTGATTATTATAAGTTGTAACTTTTCCCGCACGTTGGAGCGGGGTGTGGCATTTAATGGAAATGCTGCGCAGTTGTTCGGTACGTAATTTTTTTGGTGTTATTTTCCCACCACCCTGGTTCTTCCAAAATGTGCTGTGTGGGCTCCGTCCGTCAAGTCCCCCAACCATCGATGCAGGCGGTTGGAAAGTTCCTATGAACACATTAAAACTGAGCTGTTGGGCCTTTTGAATTGGACCTCTGTGGGCCAACGGGCGGAGCACGACGGTGCTTTGATCGCTGCGGGCGACTGGCAAGAGGCCAGGGCGGGCACAGGGTACCTTTTAATAGCGACAGTCATATGTTAATGGGAAAATCAAAAGGTCTTAAGTGCGAAAGTGAGTCGTGTAATTGCGGAGTAGGGAGGTCTTTGGATGGAGTTTTTGATGAGGCGGCCAGTGTCAAAAAAACCGCCCGGAAACTTGTTGTCCAAGGGCTCAAAAAATGGATCCTTCTTGAATTGGGGAGGGTCCCGACGGCAGTCTTTGCTGATTTTGCAAGTTGCAAAAAAACCGCCCTGGAAGCGGTTTTCCAATGACAAATTGATCCAGGGGCTTTGCGGGAAAGATCTCCCTGAAAGTGGTGTTCAGGACAGTCTTTTGATGAGTGGCAGTGGAGAAGAACCCATTGCATGGGTCGTCCATCGACGAGTTTCGCAACCGAACCAGTTTCGCAATTAAAGAAACCATTTTGTAATTATATAGGGGTTTGTTTTTCCTATTAAAGGGTGCCCTCGCAAGAGGCTTGGAGCTCAAACAGATCAAGCGCAAAGCAGATCGAACGGTTTGTTTGGGAGGTGTAATGAATCATTACCCGTTGCAGGTTTTCATTGGGAGTCCATGTCTGGCATGTCACCTCAGGTGGTGCTGCTGGGCGACGCCGAGGACGCTCTGCCGAATCGCCAGCGCTGTCCGGCCACCAGCCGTGCCTTAAATGCGAGGCCAGAGGTCACGGAGTGTGTGAGAGCGGGGGTTGGAGAGGCTCTCTTCAGCTGCCTCAAGCCCCACACGAAGCTGTGGACGCGGCTGGGCAGACGTGGGAAGGGAAAGGGCTGACTGGAGGTGATATGGGGTTGCACTTCATCTTTGATGGTTTGGTTTGGCACAAAGTGGCACCACTGAGTGGCTTCTTGAGCCCTGCCGTGTCTATAATGGCCATGTATTTGCTTCCCACAGAGTTCTTAGTTTTTACATTTTTCACCTTGGCTGAGGCATTGTGGACCGACCAACGTGAGGCTCACCTGCCACTTGGGTCTCATCATCCCACCGCAATGCTCCATCACGGCGGGCGACGCGCCACCACGCCATTGGACCGAGGGGAAATGCCTGGTCTTTGACGACTCTTTTGAGCATTCGGTGGAGAAGCTCGGGAAGAAACCAATGGCAGGGAGGATTGAAAGTCTTTTTTTTTGGGGGGGGAAGACCTCACACGTGATAACGATAAACAAAAAAATATATATATATATACATACACTGTATATACTATATACCAGAAAGCTTCTCATTCGGTGGCCCTGGATGTATTATAAGAATTGACAACAGACCTTGAACTACGACATTGGCTGCGCCCTTCGTATTTGGTCAGAGCTGAGGAACAACTCTGAAGAGAGCCGCTTTATTCTCTTGGTGAATTTCTTTCACCCCGACCTCCCGCCTGATCGCTGGCGGGACTTTGGTGATCAGGGTGCATGAAAACAGAGCGAGGGGCCTTGTGGGACCGGAAGGGGCCTAGGGCCCTAGGGTGAAGTGATTTCCCCCTCTACGCGCAAACATGTGCAAAATACATATTTAGAAGGCCTTGCATGGACCACCTGTGTGTTCTTGACCTACCATACAAATCTTGGCTTCCCTGGCTTGCCAGGATGGAGAAAGAAGGCCTGCGTCATTTGCGGCCACCTCCGGCAGGAGCGCTGCAAGCACTGCAGGCAGTCGGGAGGGACAGCAAGGCTTCCAGCAAGCCTAGAATCCAAGAGTGGGAGCTTGTGTTCCGTGGCATAAATTGGGTCGACCAAGTACGTCCTTTCAGGGCATTCTCAAGGGGAGTCATACAAGGGTCCTGGCTTCATCAGTATTCGCCCCACATGGTGTTTGGCAGGGCCAAGTTGAGGCAAGAAGAACATGTCGCCACTTCAAACAACAGTAATGATCTTCATTACTTACAAATCCACAAAGGATACATGCTTTAACAGAGCACCAAAGCAAAGTACGTCAATTTCATGTTTCTTATGGCGGGCATTGATGTATGTGAGTGCATTACATTGCCATATGAACCTACCTCATATAGATTTATAAATATATATATATATATTTTTGCATCGTGCACCTGCTGATTCTCAACCCGTGCCATCGAATTTGACCATGGTCCACTCTGGCTTTCCCAAAGGACGAAGCCCTGAATCCCCAGACTAGGCATTGTGCGCGGTGCGTGCGGCGCTTTGATCATCATTGCCCATGGCTTGGGAACTGTGGCTTGGCTTTACTACCCAAACCCCGAATCACTCCTCTACCCTGTTTTTTTCCACCTTTTACGCAGAAAGTTGCCGTTTCAGGATAATGTTTGTGTCATAGTCATTTGGAGAGAGACTGGATGGCCTTCGCTGACTCATGAGTTGACCATCAGATCTACATAACCCTGTGACATTTGGGCAGGATTCAAAACTGATGCACTTTTTACAGCTGATTGCCGTAGCTTTTGTTTACCGCCGCTGGCCTCGAGGTCTATGGGAGACCTTTTTGATCGTTTGACGATGTAATTTTTTGGATGGGGTAACCACCAAGCAGGCAGTGTCAACCTAGGCTGAGAGATCTGAACCACTGACATGGTCCCAGTGCTTTCCATTTGGTGAGCAGACATAGGACATAGTTTCCCAACCCATGGTCCTAGGCATTGGTGAGCAGAACTTGCATCTTGACCTACGGGCATTGGGCTTGGGAAACTTTTGGGTGGTTGGTCACCCCCAACACTCGGAACGATACGGCTTGGTTGAGGCTTTGTGGGTTCGTTTGCTAGATTTTTTGTTTGATCCCTTTCAGTGGGTTCAGTTCAATCCCATTTGGAGCAGCACAGCTGCGAATCCGATGATAACCACCTATGTTGGGATGACACTATTGTGCACTATCATATGCTGTAGCCGGCCCCCTCCCCCCGTGCAGGGCCGCTCAGTGGGGTCCGAAGGTGAAACAGACGGAAAAAAAACACGAAACCAGGGCACAATTTGTCAGAGGGTGCTTGTTGTCTTAAATGCTCCATGAAAGTGCTACGGAGTGCTGCCACATTATTTGGTTCGTTTTGCTGCTCGGATTGTCTCTAGCAAAAGCTAAGGTATGTTTTCTTCAGGCCCCTTCGAACCCGCATGGGTTTGCGGAAAGTGTGACAGTGACCGACATCAGCCCACAGTAGTGTCATTGAAAGCGCACCTCAGGCGAGTGGACATGAGGTTCAACTCGTGGTTAGACACCTCTCATTGGTACACTTTTGGTGGGTCATTTTCCTTTTTGACGAGGGTTGATTTTGTAAAGACCGATGAGCCTCCCATGTTGGAACATCATCCCACTATATAGTAATTGTAGTTCTCATGGAGAAATGGTTGTGACCCAGAAGATCTCCATTTCGCTTGGACGTGCAGACCAACTCCGAATCAACCATGTTCCCTTCACCCGGTGCCAGGTTTCTGGCCTCCACTCTGCTGCCTCCACCTCAAACAAATGGAATTTCTCACCGATTGTGCAGTGAGTAGAGTCTAGTTTGTGAAGGTGACTCAGTGAGGATATTCTAAAGCAAACAGGAGTTTGAGCTTGACATGTCCAAAGGTGATGTCGGCCTACTTTTCTCAAACTGTATATACCAATCAAGACTGCAGGGTAGACTTACTGTAAGTCGCATCAACTTGTGTAATGTCGCATCGCGGCCGCATGGTTTATGGGGATAGCATCAACAACACATGCAAGAAAACTTTTGCTAGAATGACTGGGCTAGTATTTACTGCACTGCATAGTATTGTTGGCACTTGCTTGTGGTTGCCTGTTGTTCATTGAGCCTCCTTTGGTTCCCCCCGTGGGGCATGATGTTGTGCAAATTGTGCATGTGTTTTGGTGAAGATTGGCGGTGCAGGTTTGCTGGTTCACCCTCAAGGCTTGGAAGACTTGAACATCTTTGGACTGAACCTACAATGAACCTTGAGTGTGATGTTTCCTTGCTCAGTTCAGGTCGTTGCTTCTCGCTCTACAATTGCACTGGGAAGCATTGCAAACCCTGCAGGCAAGGCTGCGGGACAGTGTTTTGGAACGAGACCCCCTTCAAGCAGGCCCCTTTACAGGCGACCGTATTAAAGGGAAATTGAGCCTTACCCTCTTTCTTTGCATCTCCTTTTCCCCTACAAGCCTGGGCGTGAGTATACCGAGTAGACCACTCCTTCACTGTCTCCACTAGAAGTTTCCAGCTACAAGCTTGTGCTGGTATACAACATCTATACATTAGAATCCTTGACTTGGTTTGATGAGACCAGTTCTAATTGCTCGCTTCGATTGGCACGGAAGTCCTGCCCGCTTTCGACGGATTTCTGAGCTTCCTTCCTGCGAGGCAGGCTTCAGAGCGTGGCTTGCGCCAGCCTCAAGCACTCTCGCCATGAGAGACTTGATCGCTACTCATCTCGGGCCAATTGAGAGATCTACTTGATCACACCGCAGTCCTGGGAACCATCGTTCTTTCTCTACAGTGTTGGTTGGGAAAAATGCTTATGTGGCCAAATCCTCCAAAAGTCGAACGTTTGTTGAGCCAGGATGTTCAGCAATCTTCGGCATCCATCCCTCCCATGTCAAGGTCACTGCAATCCTATTCATTGACTCCTTCCTAGCCACTTGGCTTTTTCGCGAAGTCTGGTGAGGCAATGGGCAACTTTCTTTTCACGCCACTTCCAATGCGCATTTTACACAATACCTCTTCTATGACTGTCTATACTCAAACATGCAGTGCCTATTTGATTGAACTATGTGCACAATTGACAAAAGCATCCATTGGTGATACTGTAACTGTGGAGACACCGGGATGGACAGGCAGCGCCCCAAGCCAGGCAATCTTCGTGACCTGTGTCCTCCTGCAGCAGGCAGACTCGCTTTCTGGCCGTGCCTGGTGTGGGCGAATATCCTGGTTTTGCCCGGATTCTGGTGCTATGGTCAAGTATCAATCATGAGATGTATTTTTGGACAGTTGGGTTCTGAAACTTCGTGGGATGGGGTATGGTGGGAAAGATTGTCATTCAGGGATGTTGGAGATGCACTGCTAGGTGACAGATCAGAGACAAACATATAGGTCTTTTGTACAGCACTGGACAGTTTCATACGTAGTTGGAGCTGAAGTCTTCTACAAGCACGCGTGGCCGAATAATCCAAGTCCTGAGTGTTGCACTACTGACCCAGGTTTTTCTGGATCTTCCAATTTTTTTTCGCAACCTCGGGTGGTACGATCATGAAATACCGCTTGAGCCACTGACTGGAGGCTGGCCTTGCTGTGGCTGGTATCACCAGGTGTGGCCATGTTTGTTGACGGCTTTGCTCGTAGCTAGAAGCTAGTAGGTTGGAGGCCATCGCTACTAGGAGCTACTAGTAACAAGGGCATTGCTGTACTACTAGTAGCTATAGAAGCTACTAGGTGTTGCTCGCATCGAGCATCCACTTTCCCGGAGGAGTGGTGGTTTAAGATTCGTCAAAGACGAGCTGTGCAGGTATGAAGGCTTAAAGGCCAAGGACGTCAGGGGCTCAGGACGAGCTAGTTTGCGGGAAGAATCTGCATGCAGGAGTTTCGGTTGGGGTCACTGTTCTGTCCCTGTCATAGCCCTGGAGTTTATGTTAACGAGTTAACGTTAAAATCCATGCTGAACAAACAATCGGCCGCAAGTCAAAAGCAATGCAAGTGGTCCTGTCATTGTGATCATTGTGCGTGGAATGTATGGTTCATGACTAAACAGACCTACCAGATTGGGGGGCCAAAGCCCTGTGATGTGAAATAGTAGCTGGGTGCATGCAAGCAACCTCGCATCGCGTTCCACATCCCATTGAATTGGCAGGATTCTATCTAGCATTCCTGAATTGCTGAGACCATGGTTGCCTGAGCTCTTTCTTCAAGGCTTCCTCAATGCGTCCAGCTACAAAGGTCATGCAAATCCAGGAGCTCACTATACTCTAAGATCTCATCCTCCGCTGAGAAGAAGCCCTACAACATCCCTCAACTACATCGAACACTCAAACTCGTTTAGGCACATGCCCCACATGTCCTTCAGTTGCAATGCTGACATGTTGAAACTTTGCAGCAAGAGCCATTTGCGTCGATCCTCTCCAGCAGCAATACCAACATGATGCATCTCATATTTTGCAACAAGCCCAGCAAAATTGGCCCACCCGCCACCCGCCAAGATGCCTAACCTCTACCACCAACACATGACACCTCGCAGGATTCTAAGCTCAGCTAAACTCATCCCGACTGACACTGGAAGATGATCGTAGAGGCCCAAAACCATTGCATTGTACCTGTGCCACCCACCGTTGGACATATTAAATATGTTAGTTATGATGTTACCCCATCCAGGCCTTGTTTTTAATCCTGTTCAGTTCAGTACCATTGTTGCCAGATTGTTGAGCGTGACACCCTTCCACTCGTGTTTGGAGTTGGCTTATGAACGACCTTTGTGCTTGTCTCT